CTGACAGTGCATCTTAACAATTAACAAATGTAGATTTGTGGGCATTAGTTTTTGTTTGTTGGGTTTTTTTGTTAAACTATGATTTTAGTATTTATCCTGAAGTAATGCTAGAGTGCTTTATCTTCTGTATTCCCAACTATGAGATGCTTATGAAAGTCAAAGCTGACTTTAGTGACTTTGCTTCATGTTAAGTCTGCAGCATTTTATCTTCACTGTATCTTTTCTACTGGGAAGTAGCTTCTGTGTGTCTGTTACTCTGGGGTAAAAGGCACCAGTTTTGAAATTTATTTTTAGTAGTGGGAAAAAAAAGCATAGGGAACCCACTCTGTGCCCTAGAATGATACAGCTGGGACATGTACGGCTTGTCTGCGTGGTATAGTTTTCTGTGCTGTAACTGAAGGAAGCAAAGGGTACCGCAGATACTGCCTTTAAATGTTCATGTCTCTGATGTTAACATTTGTTTAAAAAAGGTTAATTGCCGACAATTACGTGCTAAAGGAGCTACATCAGAAGAAAAGTCAATAGTACTAGGAAACTGTAACTTTGAATTAATGATAGAAGTGAACAGTTATGCCAGAGCAATTTATTTAAGGAGGCAGCACAGTTTTTATTATAAACTGCTAAAGTGTGATGTGTTGGCTTTTTTTTTTCTTTTTCATAACTGTATAAAAAGGCATATTTACCACTCCACACTGGATTCTTCAAGTGAGTGGATAAAGAACCAAGTATTCTGATGTTTTAAATTTAACATGCTGTTCATTAGTGTTGCATATTTAAAAATAAAACTGCTTCTTGAGTTAGGCTGTGTCCACTAGATGGGTTTCTTGAAGGCAAAAGGCACAGTTGTGCTTACTTAGCATGAGAACCTCAGAGTTTAAATAGCTTCTATTCATTTTGTAATCCGTATCTATAGTAAGAGTCAATTACTGTTTTATGGTACTGGTGACTAAAATTTCATTAGTGTATCTTGAAACTATGGCAAACTTGCTGGAATCTTTTTTTTTCCTGCTTTCCAGCCCAGCATCCTGGAGTTCCTAAAACTGTTCAGTCAACATTCAGCCTTTATCCAATCTGGATGAAACCCCTAGCTGGGATCCATCTCAAAACTTCTGAGAAATAGTACTGTTTTTTCTTGGTAAGCTAACTAAACCTTTAAAGGTTTCATATTGAAACTCTGTTTTGTGGGGTTTTTTTAAAGTTATATACACGAAACATAAGCAGTCTGCTATGGAAGTGCCTTCAGGTCCTTATCTGAAAGCAGTCCTGGCCCTCCTGACTCCATACTCATTTTAGGTGGATGCCCTATGACTCTGAAATACCCTGATGAGAACAAAAAAAAAAACCCCAACAACAAAAAAGAGCAACAGCCTAAAGCCAAACAAACAAAAAAAACCCTCAACCCCCAAAAAAGGAAAGAGAATGAGAAAAGAAAGAAAAACTCTGGCTGGCCCAAAGCCTCTGAGGATTTTTTGTTGCTCAGTGCCTGGTGGTATGCTGCTTGACAGCTCTAGAAAAGACTTAGTAGACTAGGCTGATCTCACATGGATTTTGTACTTTCGGTGCCATTAGGTTTATGGAGTTGGCTCACTCTTGATAAATGTCAGTGTAAAGCAGCAGAGAATCAAGCCAGCTGAGCTGGTCATGACCTTATATGCATGGTGATAATTAATAGCTGGTAAAACATGGTTCTGAAATGCAGTATACTGCCTCATCTGGGCTGTTTAGAAATTAAAATTTTAAATTGCGCTTTGAAAAGGAATCAAAAACATCTTTTGCCATCATGGGCAAAAAGATAACCTCCTTCATTAAAGGATATGTGCCATATATGTCACTGAAATATATGGCATCTTCAATGCATTTATGCTACAGAGTAAGAATTATTCATGAATTTGAGGTCAGAGGGTAGGAAAGCATGACTAATATAATACTTGATTTTAATCTGTACTTTAAATAAGGGTGGCTGTTTTAAATTTTATGGAAGGGCCTTTCTTGTTACTTTTTTCTGACATAATTTCTTACACTTACATAGTAGTAAGCTTGATATGTGATTCTCCAGAGCCTGTTCTCCTGGACTAGTCTGTACTCTGGCATAAACACAAAACTATACCAAAGCAAACAAGTGAAAAACAATTATTACAAAATATTGTTACTTTAGTATGAGGTTTTTTCCCATATGTATCTCTCAACTATTTCCCCTTTTTCTATATCAGCTAATGCTAGTCTTCTCTGAGGTTAGTCAGTCTAGGACAACTTTTCACACAATGACTCTTCTTCACTTGTGTTAATTGGAGAAGAGCTTTGACTCAGTCCTGCTCACCTGAATCAGGCAATTTGTTCCACAGAACTCAAAAGGACCAAGTCAAATGCAGCTTTTGACTCTCGACTGAACGTTGGCTTGCTTTTGTTGGTTTGCATAGTCAATGAGCTATGAAGAGCAGCCATCCTCTGAAGACAAAGCTGAAACATTTTGTGATGTTTGTGAGGCAGACAGTGCAAGTTGGGATATACCCATGATGGATATTTTTTAAATTCATCAGGAGTGACTTTCTGCATTTTCCTTGTTTCTGGTGTTTCTAAAAGGGAAGGAGAAGAGAAGAAGAAAGAATTCTTCTCTTCATGTTCATTCATGTGAGGCTTCCTGAAATTTTGAAGTTCCCAGGCACGATTCCTTATTCTCTATTAGTCACTTCTGGCTTTGTGGTGGCTACAAGTGAACTATTTAGAGAGGATATTTTGAAAATGGACATAGCACTTCCTGGTAGAGGAGGTGCATTCAGGCAGTGTAGCCAGGAGCCCTGGCAGAGCGCATGGGAGGTGCAACCGGGAATCTTGTTTCTTTTGCTTGTAAAAAATTCAGATAGAACTTCAGCTAGCTTTTGTCATGGAAATGGTTTTAGTTCGGATGAGAACAAAAGCTGTGCAGGAGCATTTGATTCCAAGAAGATACTTCTTGGCTAATTCTGCTCCCAGTTATGCCTCTTGAAGCACTCAGGAGACATGGTTGATTATTTAAAAGCACTGCAGTCTGTAGTTACTAAACTAAAAAAAATGACAAAGACACTTTCAGATTTGTGTACCGCATTTCAGTAAGATAAACAACCTTAAGACATCAGCTTTTTCATTAGAGTGGATGTGTGTGTCACACCAAGTTGGCTTTTGGTGACAACTGACTGTTGTTTTTCCTGCCCAAGCTGCTGGGACGCTTCCAGGGCTTGCATTCGGGGCCACCACGAATGTGGTGTAAGCCTAGAGTGCATGTACTTTTAATGGCTTTGTTTCAATCAGGAAGAAATGAAAGGAAAATAACAAATTGAAAGAGAATACCTGTAGTTTTTTAGGCTTGTTGTATTCAGTAAATATTTCATTGGGAAACTTGTGGAAAGGTAAAAGGCAGCAATTTAAAATTTAAATTTTGAAAACATGGTATTTTTTGTACATTGGAAAGGTCAGTCTCACAATGAAGGAGCAAATCTAATTTTCTGTTTAGTTTTCGCTGGTTTTGAACTATACTGACTTGGGCATATAAAACAGAGCACTGAAGCATTTGCATTTCTTCTAGTTGGTTTCTGTGTCCTCGATAAAATCCTATGCAGAAGGGACTGCCCTTCCCCCTGCTGCAAGTGTGGGAGCATCACTTTTGGAGAGATCATTTTTAGAACATATCCTTTTATAACAGCCTTAGTAATAGCAGAGAGCAGTGAATTTGAAATGCCGTAGTTGCATGTGAACTAGCTCACAACAATTGTACTTACCAGCTTCTGCTGAAGCAGCTTTTGGTTTTCAAAGAAAATAGTGGCCAGTGACCACGAGTCTCTTTTGAAATTTTTGAACAGAGCCAGAACATGAGATTTTTGTAAGTTTTACTGATGTGGAGAGTTTGTAGACCCTGCAGCATTCTTCTAAAATCATGTGGAAAAAAAGTATGTCCTAATATGCTTTGCCCAATTCCTTGTAACTCAGCTTGAGCTGTAAACTAATTTGCTGAAGAACTCTCATACCCCTTGTAAAGTATAGTAAACTTGGAGAAGAGGACCTATGTATTTAATTTGTTAGAAAACACTGAAATCACAGCTTTAATTTCAAAACTCAGTTTAACCTTATCTGTTGAAACAGTGACAACACTTTCACCTGTCTTTTTAGCTGCTGCTTAAAACTCCAGGAATTATGCAAAATGGAAAGCTGTATTTCTGTGGGCTTTTTTCCTCAAAAAATATTCTTAAACCTTAAACTGTTCTTTCTGTAGCACAGTTGAAATTTCATTATGAATTTGATAAGAATTTTTACAGTAAATATTTTGAAGCATTTGGCAATTAAAAAAACTACAAGAAGCAAGTTGAGATAAATATCACATTATTGTTATGTGTTTTGCACCAATACTACTGTACAAATGATGGTTAGGATTTGAAATCAAGTTCTTACACATTTTGTATATCCAAGATATGACTTCAAAATCACTGAGCATTTGGCTTCCGTATTTTGGGGGGAGTATTTTTAATAATCAAGGGGAAGAGCAGAAATGAGATGACATCAGTAACAACTAAAATACAAATCTTTGGAACATTTGTGCCATACCACCTGTCCAAGAAGCATTGTCATCTTCTGACAAACGATATCCTCCGAGGCTTGATGTATAGCACTCAAATATGCTTTTTCAAATACTTTGCTGACTGAATGACACATTAGAAAGATATTTGAGAGTTGTCTTTCTAGAACCATGCAGATATGAGTCTTGCCTTACTGACCCAGGGAGATGTATAAGCATCTAAGCGATGTGTAGCTCCCTCAGCAAAGAAGGGACACTAGATTTACCAGTTTTACAGTTCGCCTGTTACCTTACTTTGTACTACCTCATATCAACTCTTGTTTTAACATGCTTTTAACTAACTCCTATTCCCTCGAGAGATTAATGCTTGTACCCCTTAGCGCTCTTGAGAAAAGAAATATTAAATGTGGTAAGATGGATTAATTTTTCATTTCACTGCTCATTGCTTTCCTTTCAGCTTCTTGCCTGATTACATCAGTGGTGATTTTGATTCCATTCAGCCTGAAGTCAAGGAGTACTACAAGGTCAAGGTAAATAAAATCTCTTTGATGAGTTTATGTGTGTTAGAGCATTGTAGGATCCAACCCATTAGTGCCCCCGTTGGTCATTAAGTGATTCTGGCTCCGTTGGTTTCTTTGAGGCTTTGGTTGTGAAGCACCTTACAGGCTTAGATGTTGTGCTCTGCCTGGCATGGTACTAATGCTTGAAGTAAACACGGGAGGTGTGGTCCTCCCAGAGTCCTGTGTAGGGTGCAGTTTCATAGCACAAGCTCAAGAACTGGATCGTACATTGCTGGAGGTTATAGCAACTAGAAACTAGGATAAAACTTCCTGAAAACTCTCCGACTTCTTTTGCTCAGTGAGCTACAGAGCAATAAAGATTAACCTCCCATGATTCCCACATGGCTGGCACCCACAGACTTTCTGGAGAGAGTTTCTCTCTGTGATTTTTGCATGATATGACTTTACCTTTTAGCGGGAAGCTGCAGATGGAGACATCTGTCTCTTTCATCACCCACTGAAGCATTGAATTATGCCCCGACTACTTCTGTGCTTCACTAGTGGAGTGCCCTCCTTAATGAGTTTTTGGACAAATTCCTGCATACATTAATTTATTCCCAGTGTAGCCACCGCATTTCCAGTGAGCAACGTAAATGTAAACTCACATTTCTTAGGCCTTAGGGCTCAAAGTTCTGCCTTTAGCTGACTATTTGGCATTTAACGCTTTGCCGGCCTGCCTGTATAGGCTTTTGTGCTGAGCACAGTGCTTTACCCTCACGTCTTGGACAGCAGGTTTCTGCAAATTCAAGAGTTCGCCTCAGTGCACCAGCTTGCATTTACAGCAGGCTGTACTTGCAAGAGCAGTAAGTGTTTGATCCTTGTGAGCTAGTGGACTTAGAGGTCTGTGATGTGTCTGCTGCTAATTCAATGTGTGAGGCCGAAATTTGCCTAAAATCTTCCCTGATGGACTCGGGATCAAATGATTGGAAAAAAAGGTTTCAAACTGTGAGGGGAGGGCTGGAGGAGTGTATAGGACTGGGTTATAGTCCCTCTCTGAGCACTGTGTGCTTTTTTTCATGTTCTACCTCATTGATTGGAAGGGAGAAGTGTGTGATGGCTGTCCATCTTGGGAGAACAGCTCAAGAAAAATGCTCGGGAATCTTTAGGTTACAGCTTGGGAAGTGAAAATGAAATAAAAAGCTTTGGATTAATGCTATTCATTACAGACTGGAAATTCGTGGTCTGTGAATAAATGGGGAAATCGCAAAACGCACTGCTCTGTTTGGCATCGACATGGGTATTAATAAACTGCATGTTGGTTGGTAGGTGAGACTTACCAAAGAATGTGGGTTAAGGATTTTTCAACAGAGAGGAGATGGAGGAGGTAGGAGGGGGAAGAATACAGTAGGATATGGAAAGCTAACTGGTATTACACTTTTTCACGGGGATTGCTTTTCTGGCCGTATCATGCCTTTTGTCAGCTCCATTATAGCTGACTGTTGATGTGCCGTTTACATCTTCTCTATGAATGTATAGTGAACCATTCTGCTTCATACAGAGTTTATACACCCATGCAAGTGCTCGGCTGTGACAGGGTGTAAAGGAAGCAGTATTTCATCAGGATTGTAAAGGTGTAATGAAGAGCATAATCTAGCCTGCAAAATCCTTGCCTGGGGTCCTCATACATGGCTGAGGAAAAAGCAGTTTGACTTTAGGATTTTAAGTTTGGGTGTACATGATAGGAAAAATAATTTTTTGCGTTTTTAAATTAAACTTCTGTAGTCAAAAAATTAGAATGGTAAATACTGGGTGGGTGTCTAAGGAGATCTTAGCCAAAAAATATAATAAAACACAGAATTTGGAAAGAGGCATGTGCTTCTTTTCTTGTAAAGTACCTTGTCCAGTAAAGCACCCTCTGTAGTCCAGGCAATTTCCAAAGTCACGGTCATTTGGAAATGTTGTATGTGATGATGATAGGTTCAGGGCTGCCTAAAACAGGCTGCAGGAGAACTTCAGGTGAGTAGATTGGTGTAGTGCCACTGACTTGAGGGAAGTACAGTGTCACATTGTGAGTTAGGGTTGCTTCCCATGCTGTCCTTCCTCCCTCACTGAAGCACTCCCTCACCCGCATGCAGATTTCACCCAGAGGCGGGGTAAGCTGTTATCATTAGATAGCATTAGTATATTGTTTGAGGCATTCTCTTTTATCAATTGTCGATGAATGGAAAAATGGAAGAATTGTTGTAGTGAAGCTTAGACTGATGTGGTGTTGCTGTTTTCAGTGTGCAAGTGGATGAGAATCCACCGAAGTTCCACCTGCTAACTATCTGATCAGTATTTCCCTGTACAAAGAAAAAGCCCTTTCCCATGCTAGCTTTTGATATTCATGGTCAATTACTTTGACATTGGCATGCTCCTACAGCCTTCCCCTTCCCCAGTCTCGCTTCCAAATACTCGCTCTTGCTCAAATTGAAAGCCTGAACCATTCTTATCACATTACCTGAAAGCACATACATTTGTCATGCGATAATCACTCCAGTTTCATCTGCCCAGGTTCATACCAACAATTTCATTAATTAGCTGGACTTCTCTGAAGTTGAGCATGTTACCTTCAGACAACTAAATATTTATTTTTCCTTTGAAATGTGTCTCTAGGTAAACTTTTTCAGGGCATTAGGTCTTCATCACAAAATAACAAGAATATTCTATCGTCATTCCTAATGCTTCTGCTCCCACTTACTGCCAAGCTACCCTTCCTGTTCCAGCAGGCAGTGGACTGTCCTGCCTGAATTTTCCTGGTCACATGCACCTGTCTTGAGCTGCTGCCAGGCCAGGGTTAGTAATGACTTACACGGTAGCTATAGCTTTAGATTCATCAAAACTCACACTTTCTATGTAGAGTATTTTATACTGTAACGTAGATTTTCATGTCTTGCTGCCCCTGCTTTTTTCCATATATACCTAATGTAACTTATTCCCAAACGTTGCACAAAGGAAAGGTGAGACTTTATGAAGGCACTTACCTGGGGTGAGTCAAGAGCTCTGCTGTCTGGCTGTAACATTACTGTGACCTGCAAGGAAGCGCCCCCCCATTTCCATTCCTTTGTACATGTGTAACCAAGTAATTCATTATGGCCAGCAGAAAGGAGGAGCTATCACATGCATGAAGTGAATATAAAGGAAAGTGAAGCAAGGAGCAAGTGCTGAGAGTTATTCATCCTCTGCACTCCCATCTGCCCTTAAGTACAGGGAAAAGTCATGCCAACTTTTCTATCCCTTAAGTCTGACTTGATTGCTGTAGAGTCATCTTCCAGTTGAAGGGCAAGTGGTGCTGAAGGAGCTGGAGGTTCCTTCAGTATTTCAACTGCAATGATTTAATTTATACCAGGAATTGAAGTGATTTTTTCTTTTTCTTTGAGTTTATGAAGCTGAAGGTAAGTTTCCCTGTGGTTTTTATAAACGTGCTTTATAGTTCTGTTAAGTATTACATTTACAACAGAGTGCCGGAGTGACCTTTTTTTTTTAAAGCTACCCATATTGAGAGAAATTAATTCATCATGACTTCTTTTATCTATCTGAAGGTAGCATGCCACTGGTTAAAAGGAGTTACTTTTTCATAGTAAAGCTTATGGATGTTAATTATTGAGTTATAAAACATACTCATTTACAAGTGTTCGTGTCAAAGACAGCCTAGTGTAGTGCTCAGTAAGAAGGAGGAGTATTAAATTTGGTGTGTGAAACTAATTATGGTTCTCTAAAGCGTTGCCTGTAAGCAGTTGCGTCATCATCACGAAACAATGACAGGCCTGACTCCTCCATCACACCAGCTTCATGCCAGGATGCTGCTACAAGACTCGGAAGGTTTTCTACTTCATTTAAATGACGAAAGCAAGAGCAGATATATGCTATTAGGGGAAACAGGGCATACAGATTCCCGAAGCTGAAGGGTGTTACTGGAAGGGATATCTTTAAGCCAATTCCTCTGATGTTTTTAGTTGAGCGAGGATTACATGACAAGTGTTTCCATTTTCCCTTAAGGAGGATTATCGCCACTGTGTTGGGGAACCTCATTTAAATAAAGTTCATAAATGTGAAGCAAATAAATCCATTTTATCTCTGTTAGGTGTGGCATGCCATAGTTAGTGAAGAGATCTAAAGGCAAAAGTGCTGGGTTTTTTCAGTTGTGTTGGAAGGTAATCGTGTAATAGACTTATGAGTGGGATGTGTAAGTGATGGGTTTAGGCGTGTTATGCTTTTGGGAGAGAATAAGTAAGCATGCATCATAGGTTATTCAGCTTTACTTTTTTTCTGCAGTCTTGCTTTTGCTTCAGTGGCTTGTCAAGTAGGTACTTGTAGTCTTTTATTCTTTATATTAAAAAATTACTGATGATTTCCCCCATTTCTTAGAGAGTTAATGTTAAAACTGGACAAAACTGCACCACAACTGGAAATGGAATATCATATTTAAATTTTCCTTTTTAAATCATATTGCACTATAAATGAAGGATAAAGAATAACAATTCAACATTCTTTATTCTGTATATTTTCTGTCATTGTTAAAGCAGATATTGAGAAGAGGTTTTGTACTTTCACGATAAATATGCATGTTCATATGATCCCATGATAGATGCACTGGCAGTCTTTCTCTGTATAGTCTGAAGTGCGTTGGAAAAGACACTGCACAAAGCAGGGAGGACTTGTGGTGGTATTTCTGTCATTGCAGTTTCTTCTGTTTCTTGCTTTAGCTGAATGTTTCTATTATTGAAACCTTTTAAACATTACTTTGATGTTACAGCAGCCATTTGTATTGTTATGCCTCAAACAAGGCTCAGTTTCTGAAGTTTTGAGACCAAAGACATTATCTAAAATTATACCAAATCTGTACTTACGCCTAGAAGCAGAAGGTTGAATCCATTGCTCTTTGAAATCCAGATTATGCTATTTATTAAAAATCCGGTTTGGCTTTTCCACTAAGCAAACTTCGTGTGCTTTAAAAGGCTTCTGTAGACTTAGTAGGCTCTGCTTCAGAT